TTGTATTTTTATAAATTTCACTCTCCTACTCATCATTTTTCTTAATTTCTTTCATTCTATATTTTGAACTACAGAGAGATATTAATTGAGAGGGTAAAATAAAGGCATTTCTATAAGATAGAAATATGAATGAGAAAGAGATAAAGAGGCATTTGTATGATATTCTGCACTTTTCAAAGCACTTCCTCATATATTATCTTCCTTGATCTTGGAAGCTAGCAGGGAAGGTGGTATAATAGAAAGAGTACTTGTTTTACAATCAGAAGACCTGAATTTTGGTTTTGATGTTTATTTTGGGTAAGACATCTCTTAAGCCTATTTTCCTATCTATAGAATGGGAACACACACACACACACACACATATTCACACACACACATATATACACATACGTACATATATCTGTGTATATATATATACACACATACATACATATATGTGTATATACATATACATACACAAACACACACATATATACACATGCATATATTCCTTGATTCACAGGATTTTTGAGAGGAAACAATTTTGTAAACCATAAAAATCTTTTTGAACCTCAGTTTCCCTATATAAAAATTATAATACACTCCCTAGACCACAGGTTCTTTTTTTTTTGGTAGGGGGAAGATGGGGAGGAAATCACCTTGTGAACCTTAAAATGTGGCATAAGTGAAGTGGTTTTTTTGTCACCTCCATTTTGCAGATGAAAAAAATTGAGGTGAAATGATTTCCTTAAGTCCTTATAACTTCACAGTGGCAGAACTAAAATTCCAACACAGGTTTCCTGAGTTCTGACTTTGAAGACATGCTTCCTTTCCATGTACCACACTCAGTTTACTCCGTTTTCTTACATACCCTAATCCTTGCCTCCACCCTCATGTAACCCCTTGATACATGGCTATTCTTAGGGCAAAATGGGCAAGCACAGTCAATCTATGAGATAAATATTCTAGCATCTCTTTTTACAGAAGCCCACAAACAGAACTCATCTGCATCTTCATTACTGTCCATTGCTCCTTTAATAAATGTTTTAGTGACTGAGTCCTTGGTACAGAGAGCAAACAAAACTAGGCGGAAGGCTGGAATATATGCAGGCTTTTCCACTCAGATAGATTCTGGCTGCACCTCTTACTCAGGTGCTGGGAATGAAGTATATCATCCTTCCTCCATCACAGCCAAACATGACATGTGGGAGACTATGTATGGGGGTTCTTCTGAGCTTCTCTCTATGTTCCTCTGATCAGAGAAAAGAATTTTACTGACTAGGGAGGTTGAAGTCTCTGGGTTGTATTTTAACTTAATATTCTTTATCTTGAGTCACCAGGACGTATAAGAACACAGAGTTTATTTTTCTATGCTCTTTTACAGCTGCAGAAAGCCAGAACAGAGCCTCTTTGTCCTTAACCTTAGTGTTCATTGAAAGGATTTTGGTGAAAATGCTCTGCAATTACTCTGTGACTGGAGAAACATGCTTCTGTATATTCACGATGCAGGATCTATTGTAGTTAAACGACCATTATTTCTGGTGCAAATTCCACCCAGAAGGAACAATGCAGAATGAGAGCAAGGCGGTTCTTATCTGCTCATCTATCAAGTACAAGAGGCTGAGGAGGATGGGTAATACTATGCTGTGAGAGACTCATGACAGGGACTGTCAGAGATGCTAAACACACTTAGACAGCCTTGGAAAAATGAAGAAAGATAAGCTGCAGCTGTTCCAAGATGGTTTCACATTGGATAGAGTTGTTGCCTTGTCAACTTTAGAAATGATGAGTGAGTTTAAAGCTATTCCATGTTCTGTTTCCAAATTGAGCCTAAATTCATGGGGAAAGATAAAAAAGCCCGGGTTGATCAATAACATGGCATCCGGAGAAGAGAGGGATGTGATGTTCAGTTTCTAATTAAAATTTATTTAGAAAATGCCAAATAGCTCTGGCAGACTTCAGTATTTTTGAAAAACGTTTAGTTTTAGAACAAAGGAAATAGGAAACTCATTTCATCTTACACAGGCAAGAAATAACTAGAGAAGACAAAAATATGAAAAATGTTGGAGGTTCATAGACTGTGAGACAGAGAAGGAAAATAAGAAAGACAGCTAAATCTTTCAAGCTATGTAATAAGTTTGAGGCGTTTGTTATTGATGAGGGAGCCTTACCACCTTAGAGGAGAGCAGTTAGTTGTGCTCTAAACATGATGATATGGACCCAACATGCAAATGTTGGATGTCCTACAGTAACGAGCAGCGGAGGTAGAGGCAAATGGTGGTAGATGATAACTCTCTATTACGTTGTACCAAGGTGGTTGTGGTGGTTGTTGTTGTTTTGGCTAGACAAACAATAAAGACAGCTGCATCTTACCAAGGCCGACAGCTGGCACATGGCAGAGAGCCTCCTGAGACTTGCCAAAATGAATGGCCACTACCCACTTTTGTTGATTAAGATGGGCATGAATTACATTACAAGGAAGAACTTAGAGAGATTATTAAGTATTATGAAGTCCTGGAGAAGAAACTGAAGATGTACCAAGCATATGGGTGTTTTTATCATTAGTGCCAATAGACAGTAAAACAGACTTTAAAAATGAACAGCTAGTGAAAAAGAGTGTCAGAGAATGAGATTTGGCTTCCTTAAATATATAAGAAAGCTGGACTTTTGACTGTGGATGAAATACCCCCTACAAAGAAAAAAAAATCACTTGCCTGGAGCCTGGCAAGTCTAATGAAGAGGGTTTTAACTAAAAAGGAGGAAGAGAGAAACTGCCCACAAAAATCTTTCAAACCTGCTATCAAGGGGAGTATTAGGTATGATGTAAGATGAATAGCAAAAGGGAGACTCACTAATTAACACCAGCTCTAAGATACACGGCCTTAGGTGTCTGTATGCATTTTCTTAGAGTATGGTTAATACATAACACGACTAAGAAATTCTTCAAAGAAGCGCTAATTGACTAAATTAATAGGAAAAGTTTCATACTACTTTTGGTATGCTTGAGACCCGAAATACTTCACTAGTACACTGCAAGGGAAAAAAAAAGACTCACTTCTCAATGGATGATGGGAGGATTTTCAAGATTAATTTCACCAGGTCCTTTCACACCCCTTATATGGTATGGTCTCTAGTGTTCTGGTTAAGTCATATGATAGACAAATATTTTAATGAAACTATAAATACGACCTAAGTAGCAGGCACTGAATTCTTCAGGCTAATTATGTTTGTATACCACAGATATGTAGTCTCTATAAGGATAAGGACTGGATCAATGCTTGGTATAGGGAATGCCCACAACAAGAAATTCCTTCCACCAAAAGAGGCCTATATTTTAACTGTAGCTGATAGTTTCAAAAAGTTGTGTAGAGTATTGAGAGTTTAATTTCTCAGGGTCAAACACCCAGTACGTGTAAGGAGAGACTTGAACTCAGGTCTTCCTGGCTTCAAGGCCAGTTTTCTATCCACTCCTTGTGCCTCTCTTCTCCATAAGGCTGGAATAAGATTTCTAACTTCACAACTTCTCATATATTCAATCCCTTTTCTCCAGTTATACAGTTACATGTTAGTTCAGGCCCCATGCTTGGGTTATTACAATTGTTTCCTCTGTCTCAAATCTATCACTATTTCAGTCTATACTATATATTGCTACCAAAATAATTTTTCTTAAGTGCAGATATGACCCTGCAATTCCCCTACTTGACCAACTCCAAAGGCATCCTATTCTAGGATTAAATTCTTGGATCCTATTCTAGGGCCAACTATAAACTCCTGTTTGTCTTTTGAAGTCCTATGCAACTTGGCCCTAGCCTATCTTTCTAGCTGTTCCTCCCCTTATTATACTCTACGATCCATCCAAATTGGCTTTCTCTCTATTGTGAATACTATTTCTTGTCTATCTGTAACATATACTTATATGTATATATTTATTGACTTTATGTTTATGCTATATATATGTTTTTGCATGTACTTGTCTCACATTTTCGAATGTAAGCTCCTTGTGAGTAGCGATTGGTTCATTCTTTTTTTTTTTAAAGAAGTACGTTGTGTTTAAATATCTGACATGTTTTTTTTTCAAATGAATTAATTAATTTTTTAATTTGTGGAATAAAACAAGCATTTCCGTAACATAGCACAATAAAAAGATGATTGCACATGAAACCGCAAATTCACTATGCACAACTTACTATTCCTTTTAAATACACAGCAAAGTTATCGTGTAAATTTCCTTCCCCTTCTTTTTGTTCTTCCCTCCCACCCTCCCCCTTATCTCAGAGATGGCTATCATTACACACATGCACGCACACACACACACACACATACACACACATATTCTATACATACTTCTATTTATCAGTTCGTTCTCTTGTTACAGATAGCATCTTTCTTAATATGTTCTTTATAGTTAATCTGGGTATTTATATTAGTCAAAATGGCTTATTCACTCAAAGTCATTCTTCAAGTAACGTTGTTACTGTATACAGTGTTCTCTTGGTTCTGCTCATTTCACTCTTCATTACTTCGAGCAAGTCTTTCCATGCCTTTCTAAGGTTGTTGAGCTCATCATTTCTTATAGCACAGATTGTGATCCATCACAATCATATCTCATAACTTGTTCAGTCATTCCCCAACTGGTGGACATTCCTGTAATTTCCCAGTTCTTTGCTACCACAAAGAGAGTTGCTATAAACGTTTGAATCCGCAGTGTATCATGGGATACTTGGCCCATAACAGGTACTAGTTAAATAGTTGTTATTTGATTGATTGATTGAAGGGTTGCTAAAATATTGGTGAGTTTATCTTCAAGGTTACCATAAGAATTGGGTTTAGGATTATGTGAAATCCACATATATAAAATACCATCTGATAACTCTAATGGAAAGATTTGGGTAACATGGTCTAGAACTCTCAGGGAATTAACTGCATTTCTGTGTATGGCCTCCAGAGGGCAGAGCTGCTCTACCTAAATGACTATGATGAGACGTCATAGAATGCTCACTTGGTAGGAGCCTGCCTGTCTTATTTCATCCAGGTGCCCAGACAAATACTGTTACTACTACTACTACCCCGGTGACTACTGAGAGGAATCAGAAGCCAGAAAGCAGCAAGGCTTTTCATAGTAGGGCCACTTGCATACAATTCCTTGTACTGTGACAACCCAAGAGCTCCAGAGAACTTCTTTCTTCCAGCGTCCAATCTCTCCAGATTCAGAATTTCTAAGTGACACCTCCTCCACCTCTGGCTGATGCAGGAGCCTCAGTATCCCCACTGCTCAACCATGACTTTGGCCTCTGTCTTAGTGATTTTGATTCTCTTCTCAATGAGTGAGTAACATTTTATTTCACTGCTATTGATTCAGTTATCTCTGTAAAAATCCACTTACAAATAGAACTGTCTTCAGCAGATAGGTCTGTGCCAATTTATTGAGTATTGCCTTGATTTCATAGGAGGAGCAAGAACACAAACCGTGAACCAGCCTGAAGGTCAGATCGCTATATCTGAACGGGACTCCCTGGAGTTGACATGTACTGCTTCGTATACAGGGAGCCCTAGGTTCTACTGGTATGTTCAGTACCCCAAACAAAGCCTCCAGATGCTCCTGAAATATTTCTCAGGAAACACTCTGGTTAGAGGTAGCAAAGGTTTTGAAGCAGAATTTAACAAGAACAATAAATCCTTCAACCTGAGGAAACCGTCTGTCGAAGTGAGCGATGCAGCTGTTTACTTCTGTGCTGTGTATGACACAGTGACTTGAAACATCAGGAGAGCTGCACGTGAAATGCTGAGATATGATGGACAATGATCCTGAGTAGTTATTCTTTCTGCCCCTAGGGGGTGATGTTGGTCTGAGACTCAACTTTAGCATCTTTTTTTATTTGTAAAATTGTTTCATTGTTGTCTTTTGTCTTTGACACCAAAGTCACTTCTCAGCACCTTTTCTCTCCTCAACATCTCCACGCAGTCAATATATGACCCCCAGTAATTACAATGTTTAGTTTCTGAATGACCCTCAGAGCCTGCAGTCAGTGTTCAGCCTTTCCAATGGATTTTTACTCATTCATAGGATTGAAAGGTAGAAGCAACCCTAGCTGTCATCAGGCCCAATCCTCACATTTTGCCCAGGCATAGGAGTTTAATAACTCGCCCAAAGTCACCCATGTAGTAAATAGCTGAAATGGAATCCATTCAATAGTTCAATCAATGAACAAATATTTGTTAGGTAACTATTATGGGATTCTTTGGATGATCTGAGTTCAAATCCCTGACTAATTGTTAATTGGCAAGTTATTTAACCTCTGCCAGCCTCAGTTTCTTCATCTGTAAAGTAGGAATAATAACACCTGCCTCACAGGGTAATAGTGAAGATCGATTGAGGTAACACATGTAAAATACTCTTTAAAACTTAAAGGGCTATATAAATGCTAGGTATTATTATTATTATTATTTTTTTTTTTTTTTTTGGCTTTTTTTTTCTTTTAGGCATTTGGGGTTAAGTGACTTGCCCAAGGTCACACAGCTAGTAAGTGTCAAGTGTTGGGTCTGAGGCCGGATTTGAACTCAGGTCCTCCTGACTTCAGGGCCGGTGCTCTATCCACTGAGCCACCTAGCTGCCCTCCTTTTCTTAAGAATCACTTATTCATTCATTCATTCATTCATTTATCTATTTCTTTCTTTCTTTCTTTCTTTCTTTCTTTCTTTCTTTCTTTCTTTCTTTCTTTCTTTCTTTCTTTCTTTCTTTCTTTCTTTCTTTCTTTCTTTCTTTCTTTCTTTCGAGGCAGTTGGAGTTAAGCAACTTGCCCAGGGTCACACAGCTAGGAAGTATTATGTGTCTGAGGCCGGATTTGAACTTGGGTGCTTCTGACTCCAGGGCTGGTGCTCTATCCACTGCACCACCTAGCTGCCCCCTAGGTATTATTATTATTATTATTACTAATACTAATTATTATCCTTTTATGTGTTCACAGATCTTTTTAGCAATCTAGCATGATGAAGTCTCTGGACCCCTTCTCAGAATGTTTTTTAGATGCAGAAAATAAAATACATAGGATTACAAAGGAAATGAATTATGTCAAAAGAAAATTATCAAAATATTAAAGAAAAGTTCATGGGCCCCAGGTTCTGAAACCTTCATCTAATAAATGCCAGGCACTGTGCTAGGTGCTGGGGATACAAAATAAAAGAGAAATTGTCTCTGATTGCAATAAACTTTTATTTCATTGGGGAAATAATGTGTTCACACACACACACACACACACACACATGTTTTTAAATGCTAATTAGAGGAGTTTGCATTTGATCCTAGAGGAAATAGACAGCAATGAGAGCTTACTGAGCATTCAAACCCAGTTCATCTAATTAAATCCAGCCATTTTAGGGGGAGAAATCGCAGCATCATTTCCCCAGGAAATTTTACCTATAAACACTTCCCTAACCAAAAACAGTCTCTCTTCCAAACTATTTACTTCTTTATCTGTCCCTACTGCCATCAATCAACCAAATAATAATGGAAGGAGGGAATATAGTGCCTACTATGTGGTAGACTTTTGAAACCCCTTAGATAGCAAGGAGATCACATCAATTCATACTTAAAGAAATTAATTCACACTATCGATTGGAAGGACAAATACTGAAGCGGAAACTTAAATGCTTTGATCACATAATGAGAAGACAGGACTCATTGGAAAAGACCCTGATAGAGAGAAAGATTGAAGGCAAAATGAGAAGGCACAGCAGAGCATGAGATGGAAACAATGAACACGAGCTTGGACAGATTTTGGGAGATAGTGGAGGGTAGGAAGGCCTAGTGTGTTGTGGTGCATGGGGTCATAAAGAGTCAGAAATGACTGAATGACTCAACAACAGCGCAACGTGTGATAAGCACTGTGCTAAGTGATTGATAAATATTTCATTTTATACTTACAATAGCCTTGTGAGGTTGATGCTGTTTTTATTCTCATTTTACAGCTGAGACAACTGAGACAAATAGAGATTAGGTTAAGTGACTTGAGCAATGTCACACAAATAGTAAGTGTCTAGGTTGGTTTTGAATTCAGGTCTTCATGATTCCAGGCCTAGCACTCTAAGGAAGTATGTATTGTGCTAGACACTGGAGATACAAAAACAAACATAAAGTCATTCCTGCCTTCAAGCAGCTTACATTCAATTGGAGAAAACACACACACACACACATATATATGTATAATATATATATGTATATACAGAATAAATATAAAATAAATACAAAATAGTTTGGAGAGGGAGTTGAGCAACAATTGGGGATCAGGAAAGACTGAATGTTGAAAGTTGTGCTTCAGCTGAATTTTGATGGAAGGAAGGGATGAGGCAGAGGTGAGTAGAAAGTATGTGCCAGTCATGGTGAATGGTTGGCGAAAAGGCTTGGAGATAGGAGATGGAGTTGCAAAGGTGTGGAATGATAAGAAAGTCAACTTGGGTCAACCATAGAGTGCAAGGAGGGAAATTTTTCATGACAAGGCTGGAACGATAGTTTGGGGCCATGTTGTGAAGAGCTTTAAACGACAAACAAAAAGGATCATATTGCAATGTAGGCACAATAGGATCCTACCGGAGTTTGTTGAGGAGAGATGTGACATGGTAAGACCTGGACTTAAGGAAGTAACCAAGGGCTATTTATCTGGAAGATAGATTCGAGAGTTGAAGCAGGGAAACCAATTAGAAAGCCATTGCAATAGCGTAGGTGAAAAATGGTAGTATGGTGACTTGCTGAGTTGTGAGAAGGGGGCAGATGTGAGAGATGTACATGCAAAAGAAAAGATTTGGTGACTGATTGGATATAGGGGATGAGGGAGAGTGAGGAGGCTATGGTCATGTCAAAGTAGCAAACCTGTGTGACTATATGAAAGGTGGTGCTCGCAATAGGAATGGGAAAGTCCGGAAAAGGGTAGGTTTTGGGGAAAAGATTATGAATTCGGCTTTGGATGTGTTTGTTTTGAGATACCTCTGGGACATTTAGTTTAAAATGTGCAATTGACAATGGGTGATATAGGATTAGAGCTCAGGAGAGAGAAGGGGTGAATATCTGGGAGCCATCTGCATGGATTTGCTAATTAATCTCATGGTAGCTGTAGTGACAGAGTGTTGAGACAGAATTAGAAGAAGGCCTTAGACAGGGTCTTGAGTCACAACTATAGTTAGGGGGCAAAATACGGTTGATGAATGGGTAAAGGAGATGGAAAAGGAGCAATTGCATAGATAGGAGGAGAACCGACAGAGATGAGAAAGTATACAGAAAGAGAGGGGGATGAATGACATCAAATGTTGGAGAGAGAGGTCAAGAAGACTAGGGATTGAGAAAAAGCCATCATATCTGGGAATTAAGAAGTCATTGGTAACTTTGGGGAGAGCTGTTTCAAAAAGGTGATGAGGTGCAAAGGGCTTAGGAGTGAGACAAGTTGTGGGGAAAGAAAATGGAGGCAATGCATACAGATGACTTCTTCTAGGAGTTTGGCTATTAAATGGTTCTCATCTTTAAGGATAAGGAGATTTGGCCACCTTTGCAGGTAACAGAAGAGGATCCAGTAGGCAGAGAGAGATTGAAGATTATACAGAGAGAGGAAATGACTTAAGAGAGATCTTCTGGGGGAAGTTGGGAGAGGACGGGATCAAGAGAATGTGTAGAAGGGTTGACTTTGGTAAGAAAAAGGGCCACCTCATTATCAGAGACTAAAATAGAGGAGGACAGAGTGGGGAATGATGTCAAGAGGATTTGAGATGAAAAGAAAAGGGAGTTCATGTTGAATATCTCTATTTTCTCAGTAAAGTAAAGAATGAAGCCAGGTTTTCAGCTGAGAGTGAGACATGATGGTTGGCTTAGAGGAGACAAAGCTCTGCTTGAAGAATGTAGGTTAGAGGAAGCCCAGGAAGTCTTGAAGGAATCCATTACACTTTACTACAACTTTTTTCCTTTTAACTGGGCTTAATTTGCCTCTTCGTAATTTCCACTCATTGTTCCTAGTTTTGTTCTTGAGCAAGCAGAACAGATAGAATCTTTCTTTCATGTGACTTCCCTGGAAATACTTGAGGACACATTTTCTGTATTAGGTTGGATCAGAATTAATCTATTGAGCAGATAGACAAGACACAGGATAAAATTCACAAGCACACAAGAAACGACACAGAACACTAGGACTGTCTTCATTGGATCTTATTCTATTCCCTTAAGATGAGTGTCTTCTGCGGGTCTGTCCTTGGTTGTCTACTTTTCTACATCTAAACGCTTTCTCTTTGGAGTCTCATTTGCTCCCATCCTCTCAACTACTGCTTTTAAATAGATGACTGCTGATCTGTAGTAACTCTTTTCTTGATCCCTTCTAAATCATGAACCCTATTTCCAGCTGACTACAGGATAGCTCCACCTTGATGATCCCCTTGAGCACTTCAAACTCAATATGTCTAAAATAAAGTTTATTATATTTTCCTCCAAAGTTACTTCTCCTTTTGACTTCTCTGTTTCAGTGACAACAGAATTCTCTTTGTCTAGCAGAATAGTGTTTGAAAGCCTTGGAATTATATTTGCCTGTTCTATCTCCCACACCTCTCATATTTAATTAGTTCCCAAATTCTTTCAATTCTTCCTTTACAACATCTCTCACAACTATTCTTTTCTCTCTATTGCCAATGCTGCCACCCTAGTACTGCTAGATGTTATAGCAAATAGAGTGCTGGGTCTGGAGTCAGGAAGATCTAAGCTCAAATTTGGCCTCAGACACTTACTAGCGGTGTCATCCTAGGCAAGTCACTTAATCTCTGCTTGCCTCAGTTTTCTCAGCTGTATAATGGAGTAATAATAGCATCTACTTCCCACAGTTGATGTGAAGATAAATTGATATTAA